GGGAAAGGGCCTGTGTGCGCACTTGAGTCTCCCCGATGGACAGTGTGCGCGCATGAGTCAACAACTGTGTGCGCAGATGAGGCGCAAGTGCTAAGAAAATGTGTGTGCGCAGATGAGTCAAACCCGTGTGCGCGGATGAGCCGCCGCCCGCTTCCGTGCTGTCGTTGCATATGTCTGTTTTCGTGAATCCTTATTTCAATGTTTCGCGTTGCCAAAGCACGCGGCGCGTTGCCCAGTGCGGCCAGAATGTGAAGATGCTGAACGACCAGGAGCATCAGGACCGCGCAGGCCAGCTGCAGCAAATCCCGCAGTTGTTTTCTATGTTTTCTTTCACGGGGCTATTCAGTTTTAGGTCGGTCTCATGCATACCCGTGTTGCATGTTTTTGCCACTGTTAGACTCTGTTAGACCTGTCGAAGTTGTAAGGTCATTTGCTCGAGCAATATTATATTCGCGTTTTTGGTCCTGTGGCGTCATTGTGCTTCTGATAGCAACAATGGGACTAAACATGACAAAACTATAAAGCAATTGGGAACGCTGCACTCACAAACCCACACTTGGTTCAACATCAGGTTCCTATCACACGGATAGCCATGAGAGCTCAACATAAACACACACACACACATACCGGACGCTGCTAGGAACAACGGGCATCGCTACTAGGAGCAAGGACGCTACTAGGGTTCCTGGCCTTACTGCTAGTAACAAGGACGCTGCTAGGAGCACCCTACACACACTTATCGCATCCTATCGCATCCTATCGCCCATCGCATCGTGGCATTTTCTCCAGACTTCTTGGCGATCACCGAGCGGGACATGGACGTAGCTCTCAGAAGTGCCATGGAGGCCACAGCAGCAAAGGGAGGAAAGTACAGGTGGATGGTGGTGAAGTGGTGACGGGATCTCCTCCGTCAGAGTCATGTGATTTTAGGGTGTGCTATTAGGTTGGAGGCCATCGCCATTAGGTCATTAGGTTTGAGGCCATTCCTATTAGGTTGGAGACCACCAATGACCATCGCATATTAGGTTGGAGGCCGTTGCTATTAGGTTGAAGGCCATCGCTAGCAGGTTGGAGGCCTTTCCTCTCAGTTTCGAGGCCATTGCTATTAGGTTGGAGGCCATGGCTATCATATAATTAGGTTGGCCAACGCTATTAGGTTGGAGGCCTTCGCCATAGTTGGAGGCCATCGCTTCTAGGTTGGGTTGTAAAAACGTCCTTTTCATGTGATTCTGTTGTGCGCTGAGAAACGAACTTCGTTTGACTCCGTCTTCAGTTTTCCGACGCCTTGAGTTTCTCTAGCCCCCAAAAGTGTGTGGCGCGTCTTCTCCAGCCAGGTTGTGGAGGATGTTTTGCAAAATGCGGCCAGCACGGCCTGTGTAAGGGCTCAGCAAGCGCTGCGCTTCCGGCTGCAGAATTTGCTCAGCCCAACGACTAGTGGACCAGGCACGGGGTAGGGCAGTGGGCACGAGGAAGAAATGGGAAGTTTTGAATAGTTTGATGTTTGAGGACGTTCGAGGTTTGCTTGGATTGTTATGTTGTGCCCTTGACCAGCATAGTAGCCGTAAAAGTAGAACTTAACACGCGTCCTTTCCACGGCGCAGGCAGTCCCGAAGAGGTGGACCTGGAGGTGCGGTGTTTTTTTTCTCGAAGGCACGAGACCAAACCGGTGTGGGACCGTTGAAAGCGGACCGTTTAACGACATCTGATCGGTGTAGAGGTAGGCAAGTGGGTTGTTTGGACTCATGTTGGGCCCAATGGGATCGTTCACCGCGCACGCAGGAGCATGAAGGCAATGAAGGCGAGCGCGTCGATTCTCATGGCTTCCGTCCTCTCTCATCGGATGAAGACATCGGATGCACAAGTTCGGGGTTGACCGGATGGGAGGGCTGAAGGGTTTGACAGCTCAAAGTGAAGAGAGAGGGTGGAACACATCGACACTCCGTAAGTTTAATAGACAAAGGGCAAAGGGCCAGGAGACAAAGAATATGGAGTAGTATTGGAGTGTTGAGTCTAGGACGTGCAAAGCAAAGCACAAGTAGATACCAGGTGGATGCATGAGAGAAACCTGTGTTTGATGTAACTGATGTGTAGACCGTAGCTGGGTTTTTGCCAGGACCAATTCGCCTGGCTCGTGTGAGACAACGGGCAATTGGAGAGGCCAGGCAGACTCATCGGGAAGAATTGGAGGACAAGAATGACAAGATGGAGTTGGAGTGTTACTTTGATGAGGATTCATGATAGTTTATATATGTTAAAAGTATTTAAACGTAATACATATATAGTTACATATAGTTAACACTATATATATTTATCTGTGTGTGTTTGGTTTTTGTTCCGCTGTTTGATTCCAGCGACCATTGGATTTCATCAAATCGGAATTGCGGCAGAACGAGTTGCCCTGCTGGGCCCTTGTTTGGGCAAATTAAACTCCTGCCAAACGAGAAACGATCAATGACAAACAGGTTTTTGGCAATTCCCTCAGTTTGGGCATGAATTCGGGTTTCCTCAACTGAGAACTGTCCTTGATGACGTGTGGCAGGGCAAGTTGAGCAAAGGCCATCAACAGCATTCACTTGGCCAGCAATCTGGCCACTCATCGCTCCCCCTTGGCTCCCGTTTTGGACGAGTTCCCAAGCGACCCACGCTCCGTCGACGGCTGAGGTCAACCACCACCGGAAGGCAGGCCTACGGCCAGACGCCCCGGCACATCCTCGCATGCGAAGTTGGGAGCCGAGTCGAGAAACGACAGATGAGTTCAGACAGAACCTTTCAGAGAAGGATATGTTGGTGAAGGGGTATTTTGGTGATGCCACAAGGTTGGAAGGTGGTACCTTCCGCTGGGCCACTTACAGTATAGTTGTGCCACAACGAAGAGTCAAGTTTGGTTAGTTAGCTACTGGACCCTTGCATCTCCAAAGTGCAAACATCACCGTTGAAATGTGTCATTCTGGACGACGAAACCACTGGCCGCCTTTGACTTTATCACTGTCAGCCACTCAGTGCCCTAGCCAGATGCTGGAGCTATGGGTGTATATAGATGTATATAGTAAGATTCGTATGGGATGAAGGTCCAGGTGTTGTTATTCCCAAATTCCTGTCACCATGCACCTGCCAACATGCAAACTTGATCGTCTCCAGGGTGAACTGGCACCAGATTTTGAACCCCGGCCATTCCCTTCCAGCCTTCTCCGTTGCCCAGCGGACTAGACCAAGGCCTGGGAGAAGATGAACCTGTGGACATAACTCATGGGCCGAGCCATCAGCTTTAGCACTGGTGTTCATCGGCCTGGCCAGAAACGGTCAACATGGGGTAAGCGAAGTCAAGCCTCTCAAACATCCACAGTCTTTCAAGTCTTGGATCGATCCTTCATCATTTTCCTACCCTGGAGAGAAGTGGATAACCTACACCTTCTTTGGGGATTGGTTGCCCCACTGAGAACGAACAGGTGGAAGTAGGTGAAGATGTGTTTTCCAGGAAAAATTCCAGGGAAAAGGGCTCACGAGTCAGTTCTTCTCAGAGCACGGTTTCGCTTCCAACTTCTCCAGTGTGTTTTCGTGACGGAAGACAAGTCGATGTGAGTGATTCAAACGCCACCATGACCTACCTAATTATATAAGTAAGGGAGGAGTAAGCTACTAGGCTAAGTATGGCTAAGTTAGCTTCTAGTAACTGGACGCAGGATAGCTAATGATTTGGTTTCTAAAGCTTAACATGGTGTGTAGCTGCTTGATGTGGCCGTGGCCCTGGACCGCAGAACAGTCCTTGCCGGGGGCCCTCAAACTGGCTGTTTTCAAACGGAGCTCTAAGCCCTGCCCAGTTGGGCCCAACATAGGGGAAGGCAAGATCATCATTCTTCATAGCCATGCGTTTTCGCCATAGCATCCCCTCGACCCGGAATTGGGGTCCATCCAGAGTTGATCCTCCTGGAGGGAGGCTGTGAACTTCCTCGAGGTGCGTTTGATCGAGGTGTGATCGAAGATCCTTTGGCCCAATGAAATCACCAAGAAGCACCGTATGTGCCGTATAGATCCGTATAGCTGTTTTCAATGGGCGATGGCTGCGAAAAACATCAGACATAGGATCGCTGGTTTTGCGCATCGTGATTGAATGCACCTTCAGGCTATCTCTGAACAGACTCTTGGAAGGGTCAGTCTGTTTCGCAGCTTCAGCGAATGTTGAAGGCGAAAGTTTAAGGGCAGCGAGGCCAGGATTGGAGCTAGTGCAGCTAGTGCTTCTATCAGGCGGACCTGATCGACATCGATCGACCTGATCGGTGGCAAAATCCGGCCAGGACTCCCCTAAAGAGACTCCCCTTCACTGTTTGCTTTGCTCTTTTCCCAGTCTATCCACTAGACTCCGCTTTCCTGGCATCATGGGCACCCATGACCGCATGGTCCTCAGTTGTCATGTTTTTTCACATCTCTGGCTTCGGAGTGGTTCACCGTGTGGCCTCGGAGCGTCCCAAAAACCGCTGGGGCTCGGAGGGTCTTCGGTGGACTTCGCGAAGCAGAGTCTGAGCAGAGTGTTTTTTAAAGCGATGGCCTCCACCCTACTAGCGATGGCCTCTATACTCGTAGCAATGAAAGATGTTTAAAGGCGAAACCGTTGGATTCTTGCCACTAGCTGGGAGAATTTTTATGCTTGCTGCTTTCCCTGCACAAAGCTCTTGAGCTAGCAATCAAGCAAGAAGCATCATTGGCCATTGGCTCCTATGCAATCTACGCGAGATGCACGTGGATCTAAATTCTATGACATCGCGTCGCTAACATCCAATAGATTCAATAGATGTGACGTTTCCATCGGCCTCTGGCCTCAGGCACACGGCATGCCACCCCCCCGAAGCGGTACAAAAGCGCTCCAAAGTCTACTCTTGAAATATCTTCATGGTGGGTTCTGTAGCCCACAGATGAGGACCATCAACATGCACAGGATATTGGTCACTTTGTGGGCACATTGCCATGCGGATCCATGCGGATCGGTCCGCATGGTCCACGCTCCCATGCTGTTGCTGTGGGCTGTTTTGTTCGCACTCCAGGCCAGACCGGACGTGAGAGTAGCTTAATAGGGTTTAGGGTTTGTAAGGCAGCTATGGGATATGTTTATGTATTTTACATGATTTATGGGGAGACCAGAATTCATGTGCCCTTCAGCCCTTCAACGTTTACATTCATCCTTCATCCTTTCAACGAACCAAGAGTCGATGTTTATTTCATCGATTCGCTATCTACAGTCTTTGGGTGCAGATGACTCCTTTTTTCATTGCAGTGCCCTGATTGGTCGGCATCTTCCAATAATACTTCAGCAATCTTCAGCAGCTGTCAGTAATTGCGCAAAATCTAGGGGACCTGACATGTCATTCCATGTCCATTCAATGCGACGTAGGCTTTGACAGGTTCCTTTACAGAATGTGTATGTTCGAAAAAAGGGCACCGAACCAATGATGAAAGTCTTTACGTTTGTCGCCTCATGTTTAGGCTGCTAGTACCAAGAAGCTACTAGGAACAAAGGGCATTTCTAGGAGAAAGGACGCTACTAGGAGCTCCTAGCACTACTAGTAACAAGTGCATATGCTGCATACTTGTTTTTTTTTTCTGCAGCTCCATGTAGCTCCCGAGGTCCGTCAGCGTTTCGGTGCCCTCCAGGCGTTTCGCGGCACAGTTTTGCGGCGAAAGGGGCCGTCGACCGCGCTCGGACGGACAGCGCTGCTCGGTACCGTCGTGGCATCCGGTGTTTTGGTCGAGTTGCGTCAGCTACGTCAGCTACGTCTGCTACGTCTACTGGGCAGGCTCCAATTTCAATCGGTGCTTTTTCGCTCGCGTCAGGCCAGCGTGGCCGGGCGCATTGCCCCCTTGGAGGTGGGGTGGCCAGTAACTGGGTGTAGTTTTCCGAAAGGGGTTCTGGGGTAGGTAATATGTGGATGTATGTATACAGTGATGGATGTGGATTGATGTAGTGATGGGTTGTGATTCGAGAAACTCATTAAAATTGCTGTTGGTTTTCTTATGGTTGGGTATTTGAGTTGGTGCCTCCCTTTTAGCAGTGACGAAGTCTCCTTGAGAGTGGAGAGCCAAATGGGTCGAGACTTCTGAGAGTGAGATGGCTACTGGTAGCGTCTTTGCTAGTAACAAGTGCCACGCTAGTAGTAACAGGTGCCTTACTAGTAGTAACAAGAAGCTATTAGAATTAAATTAAAAATAGAATAAATTAATAGCTTCTTGTTACTACTAGTAAGGCACTTGTTACTAGTAGCGGTGCCCTTGTTACTAGTAGCTTCTTGTTGCTATATACAAGAAGGATGACCTCAAAAGTAGATAGACTCTCGGAAGACCAAGCTTCATGTGCTCGTTTTGGAGTCATTGACTCATCCCGCAGCAGACCTACATACTTGTGGTGAGCACCAGCTTTTAGATGCTTTTAACAAGTCTCTAAGCGATTTGGACAACACTTGGTCACACATGCTCTACCAACTGAATCTGTGAACTAGTTTAAAGGTGGGCTGTACTATCATGCATTACCGTATTATCATTATCGCATTTCCTGTGTCCGACTGGGGCATTTTTGGAGATGCTCCAGACATAACTCACATGTTTGGCTTGTTCACTGTGAACTGATCAGCACTGCCCCACAGCTTGGGCAGTCGATACAAGCCAAAGATCGCTTGGACTGGGTCCAGCTACCGGGGAGGCGCGGAGCCGGAGAGGTTGGCCCAGCAATTCCCAGTGAAGCTTGATGACCCAAATTGGTTGAAGGCTACTAGGAGCATTCTTGCTAATAGGGGCTCCTGGCCATAACTACTAGGAGCATTCTTGCTACTAGCTTGACCCAAATTGGTTGAAGGCTTGCTGGCATTCAGCCCCGTATGAAGAAGATTTACAATCCAAATGGCTGGGGTTTATTTATCAAGTGTCTACGTAGATCGCGCACTGTCGTGCACCAGCACACACAGCGCCGTCACAGCTGCCGGCCTTGCTGCCAGCTGGACCTGCAATCGCCAAGGCTTTTGGGCCGGTGCGAGCTGCCCAAAGGCTACACAGCGGGGTGCAAGCCTCTTCTGCTGGAGCGGGTGCACAATGCCAGTGACCCAGACTAGAAAACGGTTCCCTCCCCGAAGGGGGAAATGGATGGAAATGGTGGCTATGCACTGGAACTTCAAGCTAGAAGCTACTAGGTTGGAGGCCATCGCTAGTAGGTTGGAGGCCATTACTACAGGAACAAGAAGCTACGAACATAGCTAGAAGCGAACTATCGTGAAATGTCGATATCTCTTTCGTGATCGGAGCTACGGATCGGTCTGTGGGCGGTGGGCCATTCGTGATCGGCTTCGCGTGGTCCCGAGGTGAGGGAATGCCTGGGCGTCTTGGGCATGACCGAGGGGGACACCATCAACTACAAAGGACAAGTTTGTGCCGGGCGGTGCTGATCTTTCTCGGGTTAGAGATGTTTCCTGTAGCGATGGCCTCCCTAATATACTGGAGGTCTGTTTGTTTCTTTTTCTATTGTTCTTTGTTTCCAATCCAACCTGGAAGCAATGGCCTCCACCCTAGTAGCTTGTGCCGGGCTGCCAGCAAGGGATCCCCAAGGCAATTCAGTCTCGCATCCACGCTTGTGGGCTTGGTGATGAGTAGCGATGCCCTTTGTTCCTAGTAGCGAACCTTTGCTCCTAGTAGTAAGGCCAGGAGCCCCTAATAGCGTCCTTGTTCCTAGTAGCGATGCCCTTTGCTCCTAATAGCGTCCTTGTTCCTATAGAAATGTGAATGCCCCGATTGCATCATTGCGAGCACCAGGAGGAGAGGTGAGCCTCTCCTGGGCCACCCCCAGGTGCTTCTCACCCGCCTTGGCCTTCCAGGAGAAGTCTGTCAAATCCAGCGCTGCCAGGCCGTTATATATTACTAGTAATGCCCTTGTTACTAGTAGCGTCTTTGCTGCTAGCAGCGATGCCAGGAGCCCCTAGTAGCTTCTTGCTCCTAGTAGTAAGGCCAGGAGCCCCTAGTAGCGTCCTTGCTCCTAGTGAATTGAAGATCCCTTCGGACCAGCGAAGTGGTCCGAGTTTCGGTGAACTCAGTGACCTGTGCTTCTTCAGCATCCTAATCTGAAAGTGTTTGGCCAGGAAGGCCAAGATGAGCTAGCGGGGATCTCGGCGAGTCCCGTGGGTAGCCCCCTTGGCACAGCCCTAGAGGGACGAATTCCAGATCAAGGCACTGAATTTGGATACTTTTGTCAGCTGCACTGACGGATGCAAGTAGTCCGTCGCCTTGTCTGTGCCCCCTTCCAGACATGCCCTCCTCCAGCACTTGCCGGCAGCATTTTCCAATCAGATCAAAGCGCACAACGGGAGAACGCTGCTATAGACTCGGCGGTTCGGCAATGGCTGTCATGAGGACAGGGGAGTTGTTGGTTGCTTCATGTTGCCTGCGTTTGCACTGGCTTGCCGACACGAATTGAGTTGCATTCCTCCCCACACCCTGCCCGCGTCTGATACATTCGTATCCATGAATCGCATACCTTTCGAATCAAAGCACATTGGTATCCTTTATCGCCGCATTCCGCACGTTTACACGCAGGAGCAAGAGCACCAAGATCGTGATGCTGCTGATCGGTGATTTGGTTGCAGAAGATCAGAAATCGTCAAAGTCACAGTGCTGCAAGGATGCTGTGGAAAAGCCTTCCTTTGTTAGTGCCAGCAAGGATGCTACTAGGGGCTCCTGGCATCGCTACTAGGAGCATTCTTGCTACCAGGACGCAACCGGGCACATCGCTCTGACCGAGGTGCGCTCTGCCTGGCACCCTGCTTCGTGTCACCTCGTCCCCGGGACCTCCGCCCCGACGCGGCGGCGGCCCTGGCCGCGGCGACGGTGGCTGCCGAGCCGGCGAACGCCATGCTCTTCGGCGGCTCGGGCGGCAGATGAGCCAGTGGTCAAGACTGTCGCTAGCAGGTTGGAGGCTGGAGGCCATTGCTATTAGGTTGGACGCCACCACTCTTAGGTTGG